GAGAGAGAGAGAGAGAGAGAGAGAGAGAGAGAGCAATTGATGCCCCCTCTGCTCCTGGAGGGGAAAAGGAATAACAGTAACTTTAGAAGAAAAAAGGTTTGCAGAGAGACAAAGAGAAGAAGAAGAAAAGGTTATGATATAGAGAGAAGAAGAGAGAGCGAAAATGGAGGAAGAGAGGGGGGAGGGTCTATCAGAAGGGAGTTACCCTCCAGCTCCCACCATGAGCCTGCTATTTTCCAGGCTGTAAAGAATAGAGATGCCATCAACACAATTGAGACAGAGAGAGGGACGAGGGTAGAGATGATCTCTATCAGAATGGTGTGTGAGTGCCGGTTCCGCTTCTCGTCTCAGCTGGGCTATACAGCGCTGATCTATTCCTCGGGCGGTTCTCCTCGAGCTGTCGCACAACCTGAGCCATGTCGGGCCTCACGGACGGTGCAGGGGCGCAGCACCCCATTGCCAACTTCAGCGCCTGCACTAACCCCTCTTCCATAGCACTCCTTACTCCCCTCAAAACCTCAGCATCAAAAACCTCCATTGTGCTCTCTTCCAAAACAGCAACCTTAACAATAGACGGCAAATCCACTTGCTCCCCTGTTCTAGCGTCCTTACCAGGCTTCTTGCCCAACAAAATCTCCAATAATATTATCCCAAAGCTATATACATCAGTCATGACACTGCATTTCTTCATCTTTTGGAGCTCTGGAGCTTTGTATCCCTGTAATTTGGTTGCAGCTAACATTTCATCAGCGACTTGTGGCACCATGGCTTTTACGATGCCAAAATCAGTGAGATGAGCAACGAATGATTCGTCGACCAATGTGTTTTTGGATTTGAGGTTGCCATGAATTATGGGGGATTCGCCACCTGAGTGGAGATGGGCAAGGCCCCTTGCTATTCCTAGGGCTATCTTATGTCGTCTGGCCCAGCTCATCTGCGGCCTTCCTGCTCTGTTCTCTGAAACAGTGAGAAAACAGGGGTTAGATAATGAGAAAATTTGCTCCCCAAACTGTAAATTCCATTTTAAAAGCTGAAGAGAGAGATTGCTATTGGGAAGGAGTTCTTGTAAACAAAGGCATCATAGTAAAAAATTATACACTGTAGAACTGGAAATTGCTTCAAATTGTGAGAGGGTGTCGTGAAGGAGAATTAGATATAAAAAAAAATTCACAAACCAGACCCTGAATTCCAACCTTGTGAGGTTAAAGAGAGAGAGAACTGTTAGCTTAACTGAGTTCTGAGATCGCTGTGAAAAACCCACAACCCCAATTACAAATTCATTCCTCTCTGGGTGCGGTTCAAGAGAGAGATTGTTACTGTGGAGAATGTTTGAGAGGCTTTGCAAGAGTTACATATTAATAAACACACACTCCAAAGTGCAAAATCCTTCATTTTAGATATTAAAGCGAGAAATTGTTACCAATACAAAGCAGGATCACAAATAGCCAACCATCAAAATTATAGG